AACCGAAATATTGTGATATCGTATCATCAAAAGTCTTAAAATAATAATCGTGGGCTCTCACAATATATCGAATCACAAGTTCCTTTACTTAAATGCATGGTTTTATAGTGGTAACAGCTTATAAACATTAGGGAACTACATATCCCATGATTCATTTCAGTGCAGACAACATGAAGATATGTTTTTTACTTAAATTCTTGGGATTAAGACTGAAATAATTCACATCAAAATCTTGTCAAGATATTTTAAAAGCAAAAAAATTTCCCATCCTACAATTATATTAGCCTCACAATAAATATCAAACTGTGAGATGCATATCGTGATAATATCGTACCGTGAGATTTGGATATCGTTACATCCCTACTATGTACTAAGTGATGTTTGACCAGAAAGTTTCATATTTGATTTTTTTATTGTTGTATTTATTCTTGTTCTGCTGTTACTTGAAAGATGCACTGGTATCGGTTGAAACTTATCAGGTAACGGCAGAAACTTAAAACTGTAGTATCAGAATTATCGGAACTGGAAAAGCTGGATCAGTGCATCACAAGTCAGTCTGATGCACACTCCCTCCGTTGTCTCAAGCCAGAACCAAACATGATCAATCTGTGTATCATTCGTTCATTCGTTTTTCAATATAAAACCAAAAATAAGAAAACGAAAAAACTACTGTTGATGTTGAAATGAATAATGGAAGAAACGGATAACGGTCGTTTCACATTTCCGTGACTTAAATTGCAATGCCGGACTGAACCAGGACTAAAACAGGTCTAAACCAGCTCTAAACCAGGTCTAAACCAGGTCTAAACTGGTCTCAGTCCTGGTCTCAGTCCCGGTCTCAGTCCCGGTCTCAGTCCTGATCTTGGTCTCGCTCTCAGTCCTGGTCTGGTCCCGGTCTGGTCCTGGTCTGATCCCGGTCTGGTCCCGATCTGGTCCTGATCTGGTCCCGGTCTAGTCCCAGTCTAGCCCAGATAGCAAAAAGTATTCACGACGGAGGTACCCGGAGATTCTGTTACCGCGGAACAGAGTCCACTTGTACATTGTGGATCCACTGCGCGTAAAAGTCCGGCATCGCAGTTTAAGTCACGGAAACAGGAAGCAGCCATTACCTGCTTTTTCCATTATTGATTTAAACACAAAAAAATCGAAAAATGAAAAAAAAAATCATCGTTATTCATTTTTTTTTTCATTTTGGTTTTGGAGACATTTTCTTATTTTTGGTTTTATATTGAAAAACAAATGAACAAATGATACACAGATTCCGATTCAGATTTGTTTTCTTCAGTGATGCTTTTGAAATGAAAGAGTTCATTGGTCACATATAATTTATAAACAAAATCTAACTTCCCTGACCACAATTCAGTTTACTGCTTCGTTCATGATTCTATAAAAATCAGCAATGTTTTTCAGCCCCCTGTGGTGTCTATTTTTTTTTTTTTTTTGAGTTAGACAAATTACAATGCATAAAAAAAACAGAAAACATACAAGAAAAAAAAAGGAAACTGATAAAAAAAGAAAGAAAGAAAACCAGACATACACCAAGCGATACAAATAATGCATTCAATAAATGAAAGTCAAGAGCCATTTATAAATAATGTAAAAATAAAAGGTATTTGGGGTTCCTATATCTTTATTTATCTTTTCTTCTTTTATTTATTAATTTTCTTCTTTTCTATGACTGTGTACGGCTTTGAAAATGAATTATTATTTGATCAACGACACAACTTATCAAGCATAAACATTCACCACTTCACTAATACCGAACCAAGAACCATACACTAATAGCGGAAAGCCCACAAAAAGAAGACGAAATACTTGAATGAATACCAATAAAGTGATTCAACCTTAAGTAATTGAGGCTCACTTAATTTGCGTAGTATTTTCCAGGAAACCCAGAGAGCTGATAAGTGTTTTGGAGTGGAAAGCATCATACACTCATAAATAAAACCAATAAGAGTGCAGTGTACGGAAGAGCAAAGACCAGGATCGGGTAATGGAAGATAAAAGCCTCCAAGAGGGTGAGGTGTGCATTCAGTTCATTTCAAATACGTATTTTTCGGCATAAAATAGAATCTACACCATTGTTTATCAGTACTTTGGGGAATTCTGTATGATTTATAGGTATTTATGTGTTTTAAAGTCACTCTACTAGATTTTTACTCTTTTTCCACAATTTAGACTACGGTGGTCGGCAAGTGCAAAACAAATTTACATTTCATAAAACACATTTGCAAATGAGTAAACAAATTTATGAAACACTTGTACAAGTGCCGAGACAAATTTATATGTGGCAAAAACACAAATACAAACCCCCGAAACACATTAACAAGAAAGTTCTTGATGGAAAAGGAATGTCCAAAAAAGCGGAAATGACGAATGATGTGGCAGGAAGTGAAAAGCGATTCAACAGAAATAAGAAAGATATGTTTAGACTACAGTAAGGCTCTGACTATAGCTGTGTCCCAATTCAAGGGCTGCAGTCTTTGAAGGCCAGGTCCTTCTTCGGCTGTGAGGCTGCAGTCCTCGATGTAACCTCCACGGACTGCAAAGGCCATGGCAAAATAGGACAGGTGTAGTCCACGGAGTCCATCGCCCAGTAACCGAGACACGCAGATTATGCACAGGGCTCAATAACAAAAATTATGCACGGGTAATCAAACTGTCGGACTTTGAAACCAAGGTATTCTAATAATTCTCATCCAAATCTTATGGCTACAAACTAAACTTTTGCAAAAAATGGCTATATTTCTTGTTAATGTGTTTTGGGGGTTTGTATTTGTGTTTTTGCCACATGTAAATTTATCTCGGTGCTTGTACAAGTGTTTTGTGTTTTGTAAATTTGTTTACTCATTTGCAAATTAGTTTTTTTTTGTTTTCAATATGTAAAAGTGTATTCTAAATGTAATTTTGTTTTCAAACTTGTTAATGTGTGTTGTGAAATGTAAAAGTGTTGTGCACTTGCCAGCCACTTTAGTAAAGTGCTAAAGCTGATGACAACTAGCATGCTAACACACACTTCCTGATTAACGCTTTATAATAAGATGCGTGCAGCACAAAGTAGACATATTTCAACCTCAAAAGAAAAATCTTGCTCAAAATCTGTACATGTTTGAGTAACTCTGCAGTATTAGTTTGTCTACATTTCCAAAACTCAAAAAACTTGTTTCCACCAGTGTCATGATTAGCTACTGCAGAAAGTTCTCTAAATGAGTATGACTGGAATGGTCTTTATAAATTTAAAGCTGTATTATGCAACTTTTTTTTTCTGCTTATTTCTGCAGAGGTGTTATTGCCTTCCCCAAAAGATAGGAGCATTATGAACAAATAATACATACATACTTCCATACATTATTATGATCTTTGGACAGCAAGTTTTCACCAATGCTTCCACCCACACACCTCCTACCTTTGCTCGGGCTCATTAGTATGTCCTCAAGGATCTTTATAACAGGGAAAATATGAGCAGATACATTTTCTTGGACCTTAGAGTCTGGCCTTCACCTATACACAAGGTTTTAAACAAGCCTATTGATTGCTGAATCTTGGTTAAACCTTGTTAAACTTGGATGTAAGGAGTCTGCTGTCTGTGAAATTGGTGTCTGCTGCTTGGAGCTTTAAAACAATCCACACCAGCTCTTCATAGGACATTAGGTATAGGACATAGATTGTAAAATTAGAAAATGTTACAAACTGACTTTAAAATCTCTTGAGAGCACAAAGAAGACTGTATGGGATCTGTCTTTTTTTTCTTTTTCTTTGCCTGATCCAGATCAATACTTAATGAAAATGTAAGTCTGGTCACTGGTGAATCTCCCAGTTCAGATGGGAGTGAATGATTGACAGGTGGATGAAAAAAGGGGAAAAATATCACAGGGGACTGAAAAACACTGTGGATTTCTGCAGGATCAATGAGCAAAGCACTAAACCATCTCTGTTTGTCTGAGGGGAGAGAAATTTGTTTTAAAATGATGGCTAGATGTATCGCTGAAATAAACAAATTTGATTGCACCTTCGTATTTGGAGCCTTGAGGCCCAACGGAAGGATTGGTAACCACATTGCCATCCCTCTGAATAAAAAATATAGAGAGGCGTCATTCTTGTCAGGCAAACTTTATAGAAACTGCATGATCTTTGTGTAGGGATGGGGTTCCTCTGAGCAAGTTTAATCGTAATCGTGTTTTATATATATATATATATATATATATATATATATATATATATATATATATATATATATATATATATATATATATATATATATATATATATATATATATGTGTATTGCAGTTTACTACTGTATGTAACACACTTTGGTCAACACTTTGGTCGACAACACTTTCATCAACAGCACTTTGGTCAACACTTTAGTCAATAACACTTTGGTCAACACTTTAGTCAACAACACTTTGGTCAGCAGCACTTTGGTCAACTCTTTGGCCAACACTTTAGTCAACAACACTTTGGTCAACAATTTAGTCAACAACACTTTGGTCAACAACACTTTGGTCAACACTGTGGTCATCACTTTGGTTAACACTTTAGTCAACAACACTTTGGTCAACAATTTAGTCAACAACACTTTGGTCAACAACACTTTGCTCAACACTTTAGTCAACAACACTTTGGTAAACACTTTGGTCAACAACACTTTTGGTCAACAATAATACATACATACATACTTAAATGTGTTATACAAATAAATTTGGACTTGTAGTTTTGGACTATCACGTCATCTTTCAGCTATGCATCATCGACTAAGATCCTTTTTCTTACCTGGAGAATGAAAGATGGATGCTGCACTGCTGACCCCCTCGGTTAAGACTGCATTTGACCTTTTAATTGGAGCTAAAGAAAATTTTTTATTGATTTGACTTGTTTTGGGTTACACGATCACATAGTGTACAACTTTGAACAGTGTATTTTGAAATGAGATTAGAAAGCAATCCTAATTTTTCTCAAACTAAACCTGTTGTCTTGTTGCATTCCCATCTTTTCACAGGTGCAACGAAGGAAACAACCAGTCTGCATGCTGGAACGCCACAGACTCCTCCTCCCACTGCAACCGGCGCAGGGTCCTCCCAGAGGTGCAGAACGACCTGGAACGGCCATCTTCCCAGGACCTATCCGCCCCCCTGCCCCCCTCCCCTCACCCGCACTCTCTCCCTTTGCTGGAAAAGCACCTGCCCATCGTCACCACCTCCAACGGCCGCTCCGACCTGCTGGGACGCCTGGTGGCCGGGCAGGGGGGCACGTGTCCGGGCATAACCCCGGCGCACTGCAGGGGAATGGGGGAGTGCGGGCAGGGACTTGGGGGCGTGGGTCGGAATCCGCTGGTTCAAGAGCTTTCGGAACTGGAGAGTCAAATTCACATGATAAAACAGCAGCTACAGTCCGCTATGAGAAGAAAACGGGAGTTAGAACAGTACCAAGCTGAACACCAGACTCCTTCCAATCAGCCTACCGTGCACCAGGCCAACCAGTTTGCCTCGTACACCCAGTCGCACCAGCAGACTAATCAACACACAAACACACTACCGGAGTTTTGATGGATATCGTTGTCCGGTGAAACCTGGTTGGATTTCTGTTTTTTTTCCGAACCCTTTTCGGAAAAACCTCCTTCCTGTAAGTTCCATGGCTGAAGTCTGGATCAGGAAGTACTAAAGGGGGCAGGACCCTCCTTCGAAATGAGGTCATAGGGTGGGTCAAGAGATCTCGAAATTTCAGAGAGACAATTCCCAAAATCTGGAATGAGGTCGGATCGGTTCAGAATGGGTGGCAACAAACGCAAATCTTAAAGACGCTGTACCTGATTTTTTATTTTATTTTTTTACCATCTTAAACATGTGAAAGTTTGAAAGATAGTTTAATTTAAATGTTTTGCAGAGGTCCAAAGTTATTCCTCACTTACCTTATGCATTTTGAGCATCGAAATTATTCACCTCAGTAAGTTTACAAGCGCATTTCACAGCTTTCAGAGGACAAACGTGGGGGTTTTGCGGTAATGCGACGACAACCAGCATGCTAAAAGCGCACTTTCTGATTCTCAAACACTTTATAATCAAATGCAGACGGTACGCAACAGTCTCATTTTCTTCTACAATATATCTGTACAGGAGCGATTTTGTTCAACTACAGTACACGGAAATAAAAATCAGGTACAGCCACTTTAACCAAAATGCGTTCCGATGTCTCACTAGCTTAATGCTTTCACTGAATAGCTGTGCAATCCCTCCCCGCTGTTTTCACTCGTTTTCCCATTCAGAATCGTCCCCACCTTCTTTCTTCACCTCTTCCTTTCCTCCATCCAATCTTCCATTCTCTCCCTTGAAGGTGGAGATTTGCTTGCAATGAAGATAAGCGCAACCACAGATATGAGGTCTGGCTGGGGTTTAAGTCTAACGGGCTAATTCACCTGCGTCTAATGTAAATGACCCCAAGTTGAACCCAGCGAGCTATGTGGTTATGTCCCCAGAGTCTTGCTTCAGGCTTCTATCAGCGAAAGAAAAAAAAAAAAGAGTTTAATTTGGCTTTTGATGCCCCAACCTTTGATAACCGATTTCTTAAACTCTGGTCCGATCCAGGGGTCAGTTTAGAGGGCTACTGAGGTAAATGTTAAGGTGTGTACTCATAGTTATGTAACACAGTGGGTTTTTTGTTTCCTTGACGATGCAAACTCTGCATCATTATGGGTCACTGTGTTTAAATGTCCCGCACTTCACAGATAACACTAATGATGTCCTAAAGAATTATTCAAGTGTCAGAGGATGAGATATAGTTTTCATCACGGCTTTTGAGTTCAAGAGTTCAATGATTTCATTTAATTTATATTTTCGGTCATAAAATTGTACGGAAAACGTTTGAATTGCCAAGATGCAATGTAATGTTTGGTTAGTGGGCAATCTCATTCTTTACAGACATCTTTTTCTTCTTTTGAGTATGATAAGGTTATAGAAACAGGTTATAGTTCCTTGATGTGAACTGTTGGAACCAGATCCCATTTTTTAAAAGAAATCAAAGAAACCTTTTTTTTTAAACGTATTATTGTATTGATTTATGCTGAACCAACACAAGAGCAGCATTTTATTTAGATTATGAAGCATTTCAATGGGAAAACACTCTCGCACTCTCGGTTTGAACCACTTCAAATAAATCTTAGCCTTGATCATTTCTCTCTCTGATTAGTTTGTAGATAAAAGTTGTACTCGCACTGGCTTATGTCATAAATTCTGGACTATAAGCTGCTACTTTTTTCTTACACTTTGAACCCTGCGGCTAATATATGGATGGAGTATTTGTTTGGTACATTGTCCATTCATATATACGGTCGATAGTTTGGCAACACAGCGGATACTTGCAGCCTGAGTGCAGAAAGAGTCGCTGTGTGTTCGGTTAACACATGGATCTAGGGTTCACATGAAGTTGCCACACTAGCCAGTGATATTGTCAGCGCACTCAAATAGATTATTGCTGTGTGATAAAATAAGATATGATGCTAAATAAACATTAGTGAGGGGGATACGTCTTACCCATATACATAAATGACGAAAAGAAACAACTCAAACTTCAGTAGCCAGACATCCACTCATACCCGATTTACACAACTAGCCCCGAGAGAGTCTGAAATCTGCTGATCCTATCCTACAAAACACTGACATGATACAGACAGAATAGAGGCTCTTTCTGCAGGAGACACACGCAGTAGAGCGCGGGGAGAGACGGGGGTGATGCGCCGAGGAAGATTCTAGTTTGATTGTGTTTTGAAAAGTTACCCTCCTCATGGAAAATTCACAAAGAAATGCAGATGATGCAGCTTTTAAGTCAACGACAATTGATGTGGCTGTGGAAGAAGGAAATAGAGCTGCTGCACGTGAGCTCGGCATCAATGAGTCAATGGTGAGACGTTGGCGATGGCAGCGTGACGAACTAACTCAGTACCAAAAGACGACAAAAGCTTTCAGAGGCAATAAAAGCAGATGACCTGAACTTGAAAAAGTTCTTGAAGACGTGGACACATGCGACTTATATTCAGGTGTGGCCTATATATGTACAATTTTAAAATTTAGTTAAAATTTTGTTGATGCGGCTTTATATTCAGGTGCGCCCAATAGTCCGGAAAATACGGTAAATACATAGTAATTGAATAAAGTGAACGATCCAAAATATTCTGAACCCATAAAAGTCACATCACTAATCCAAATATGGGTAAAATCTGCATTAAAATAGTTGTACTTGAATGGTACTTTTCTCAGACCATGACGTACATTTCTGGGCTAACGCTATGTCAACAATGGCTGTTAAGTCTCATTGTTGACTCAGCTTGAATCAGATGTGCTTAAAATACACATAATCCAGGAAATGTCTTAAAAGAGGGAAAGTGAAGCTTTTCCAGTAGAAAAAAAACATGCCCAAAAATATGACAAATGACCAACTGTATAAATCTTTTTTTATTCTTTTGAATTTATTTAATTTTATTTTTTTACTTTCAGCACCCAAAACGGAATTTGTAGCATGTTAACAGCTGCTAAGAGCTCACAGCGAGTGTACCAGTACAACTTCTGGGTTTGCCATCAGTTACTATATGGACTTATCTTTCAGTATTTGAAAAATAGAATATAGATCATTTTGGGGGTCAGTATTTTACCAAAGTTTTGGTTATTTTTTCTATAATATGATCAGATTTGAACTCTAGAAGGTTGAATTATAAACTAAAATTATACAAACTTCTTACTTAAATGTTGAAGTGTTTTATACAGCTCAACAATTGTACATTTCGAACAGGGGTGTCAAACTCAAATTCACAGAGGGCCAAAATTAAAAACTGGGACTAAGTCGTGGGCCAAACTAAATATTCATTGAAAAATGTCAACAGCATCTGCCTGTTTCTCTTCTTTCGACAAATGTAATGTTAAACTTTTTGTTAATTAAATAAATGTTTAATAAGTTTTGCTTTAATTAGTTTTGCTTAAACATTGAATCCAGAATAAGCTTAACTTAAAATAATACAATTTTAAATAAATAATGTCTCTATAGCTGTAGCCAGCGGGCCAGTTCTAATACATATTTGATATGATCTCGCGGGCCAAATATAATTATATCGCAGGCCAAATTTGTCCCGCAGGCCTGAGTTTGACATGTCTGGTTTAGAATATGTTTGTGAATAATTTTCGTTTATGGTTTGGTTTAAATTGATCATTTTATGTTTATATTGACTTCAGTCATATATTGCAATTCAAAGTGTGTTATCATGGCAGGCCTATAGTGTTATAATTTGATGCAGAGAATAACCTGATTCTGTCACTCTAGAGCTGCTTTTACAATATACTGTATGGGGGGAAATCATGTCATTCTACTAGAAAAAGAAAATCAGCTACAGCCCCTTTAAAGGACCCATATAATAATGTTTTCTGATCTATGTTAGAAGATTGTTTCCTCATCAAAATCATAATTGGATTTGTGTTTTGTTTGACTCACAAATCCTGCATATTTAGGCTGAATTGTTCTCTCAAACGGAAAACACTCTGCTCCAACTTGTGATGTCAAGTGGTAATACAGGAATTGCTCCACTGTGTTTTTAAACTCCATATTTCTTCACTAGAATCATTTTGATCATTTCAGCCCTGGAATTGTCAATCTCTGCTGAATTAAAGGTAAAAGGTAGCTGTTAACTTGAAAACTGCCGCTTCATGACATCACAAAGTGGAACAGAGCATTTTGAGCTTTGGAGATTTAGACAGACTAACATGTGTGAATAAAACAAAACACTTTAGGTATGTTGTTGATGAGGTATAAACATTCATCCACTAACAAGCTCACAAGAGTCAATTTTGTGTAATAGCTCAACCTTCTGAGTTTCATCAAACATAAAAAAGAAACTTACATCTCGACTTCTTGCACAATTTCTATCAGTTTATTAATGTTCCAATGTCCAGTGGGGAAGTACGTGACCAGTGGGTGCACACACGAGTCCCCTCCCTCAGGCCAGTCCTCGTGGTGGGACCCAGCTGTAGCGTTCCAGGCTCTGTTTTGGTCCATGATCTTATTCGACCCTTGAGGCCCTTCTCCACCAGGCTTGTTCTGCATTGTCATTTGTAACCTTTGAGAAGAACATGGCTCCAAGGATCAGCTGGTCTTAGTTGACTTTTCAGGATAAATCAGAAATAGATTGCAGTACTAGATAGCACTACTGTAGTACATTCAAGACATGAATTTAAGAGAGCCATTTATAAATAAAGTCATGTTTTGTTTTGCTATTTGAATACAGAATTAAGTTAACTGAGCATATCCTGCTTGTTGGTAAATGGTCATGGTCTAACTTGGCCCTGTGGTGTCACCTTCTTGTGTACATGGAGACTGATGAGTACTGTGGAAAGTTTCAAGTAAAGCAATAACACACTCTACCCAAAAAAGTTACATAGTGCACCTTTAAGGGGATTGTTCTATATTATATGAAATTGACTCTTGTGAACTTTTAGCTGTGTTAGAACACTATTATCTCCTCAAAAACATACCTGGACTTGTGTTTTGCTTCATTCACACGTGTTTGAGT